GAGAAGATAAAATAAATACAAATAGAGTTGTTTAAGTCAAACCCAATTCCTGTCGAAGCATCTCCTTAAAAACTTTGTGACTATTCTGCAGTGCCAAGGGTGAAGGGAGATTGTTCCATTCTTTAGATGTGTTTGGTATAAAAGAACTACGAGTAGTTTTAAGGTTAAAGTTTGGAATTACTACCCGTCTGTCATGCCCTCGGCGTAAAGTCTGACGAGTGGTAAGAGGTGAGATAAGCTTGTGGGAAGAAATAGGACTTCTACCGTGATAGATTTTATGAAAGTAAGTGAGCCTGTAATATTGACGACGCACTGATACAGACAATAGTTTCAGTTTTTTGAGAAGATAGTCTGGAGAACTTAAATAGTCTTGGAGAATAATGCGAGAAGCTAAACGTTGAACCTTGTCTAACACTTTCAGATGAGAAATGAAATCAGAATCAAATAATACACAAGAATATTCAAGCACCGGACGCACACACGTTTTATACAAATGAAGACGCAGAGAATACGGACAATCGCGAAAAACTCGAGAAATAGAACCTAACATTTTGCGGCAAGTTGTAGCGATAGAATCCAGATGTGTTTTCCATGTTAAGTTGTAGGAAAGAAAGACGCCTAACAATTTTAATGAAAAGACGCGTTGAATCGGTGTATTTTTGATTGATAAAGAAACAGAAGACAGAGTAGTTTTAGTGGAAGAAAACAAAACCCATTGGAAGGGATTTAGATCGCCTTCATTTTGTAGAGCTGAGCCTGGTTGTGCGAATCGCCGGCTCGGCGATGATGCCCGTAGACAGTTATAAGGATTTTACTATTCCAGCGAAACAGTGCGATTTCCTCCTTTTCCAGCGGATTTTTTCCTAACTTATATCGATTCCTGTTAGTCTGTTTCCCAAGGTAAATTCTCGTGACTGATTTCAAATGAAAAAGTGTCTCAAATACTGTATATTTTGGCGCAGAAAAATTGTGGCCCTAGGAGAATACTTGAGCTATGGGTCGCCGAAAACTAGTGGTATTTCGGGATATTTTCTCTGTATTGTACACACCAAATTCGATGAAAATAATCTACTATAGCTATTTTTGATGTTGAATTCAACTATCAGATTTGCAGAATCTATTTTCGTTTTGTTGAGATGTGAAACTCGGATGTATGCCTAGGGTTTCTCATTTTATATAAAACTTTTACCGTTTTTGACACGTAAGAAGCATATTACAATGGAGAAATCACAAAGCATTTTCAAAAACGTCTTTCACCTATCCTGAAAATACCAGCTCAACCGACTGTCCCTCGGCAGTCAAGTATCGAACAGTCTTAACTTTTTCTTTGTCTGCGTGTATTTTATTCTGATGTTCAGATGTTACATTACTTTACGTATAAAACAAAAGAAGTTTTCGAAAAAGCTTTGCAATCTTTGCATCCAATGTAATATACCTCGTATATGTTATAAACGGTAAAATTTCTATATATCAGCAACCCAAAAGGAAGAAAATCGATGTATGATATAAAAATAACACGGTTGCCAGACAAGCAAAAACGCTGATAGCATTGTAGCCCGCACATTTCTGGTTAAAATGAGACCTCTCCCAACTCTACATGACCTTTCTTTGCCAAGTTATAGAATTTTTATAAGAAAAGCCCTAAATATTTATTGTCAAGTCAAAGCTACAGAAATAAGAAGTGATAGAATTTACAAGAAATGCCCTAAATTAATTTCTCCTAGGAGAAATATAGAAAAGCTTTGACTTGACAATGAATATTTAGGGCTTTTCTTATATATGAACTGACATATCTGGGTGATGGCGAGAGGGTTAGGGCGGGGATGAGGGTGAGTTCCTCACCACTTTTCCCATCTAACAGTATAAATGATACCGGTAATAGATGTCCACGATAAATTTCTAGTACAACTTCAAATATTCCATCAAAGAAGAAATCCTACAAAAACAGATTTGTTTGATTCTGTTGTGATTCTCTTTGTAATGTTTCACACTACTGCCGAACGCAGGACTCTTTCTAGCGAGCAACTGTCCTGTTCCCCATCAAAATATTTTTCTCGGAAATCCTGTATTATCAAGCAATCGCTGGCAAGGTTTTCAAAAATTACTTTTTATGCTTTCAAGTAGAAAAAACACTCTTTTTACAATGTTTCACTTATAATACAAAAAAATGAAAATGGAGGCCATCTAAAGGTTTGCGGCGACAGTCGATGTAATGTTGATCTATTTCATATGGATTCACTCAGCTATATATTGTACTATTTAGATTTTTCATGAACATTTCGAAATAAATCCAATATCCACTTAGAAAAAGCTAATAAATACCCATAAGAGATAAATATTTGAAGAAGAACATTCGATGATTCAAGGACATATAGTTCAAATTTTTGATCATTCTGTTCAGTCTTTTCAGACGAACTGAACTTTCATAGGCACAATGAGAAAGAGAATTTCTTTTTTGACTGAAATGTGTGTGTGAACATTCGAATACATTCCATCGCATCACTAGCTGCTTGTCATCGTGTCATAGTCTCTCCACTTCAATGCTGGCCCCTAAACACTTTAAAAGATGCGTACTTTCTAACAAAGACTCGGTAGCTCGGAGGATTACGAGAGACTCCTCGACTCGTTTTGGCATCAAGCGCGGACTGCTGAGTAGCGGTGGAAGCTTTCAGAAGAAACTCAAGAGATCTTCAGGAATCGGTCCGCAGCTTCCCTCATCTTTCCATACATAACAACTGAAAAGTCAGTATGGTTTTTAGAGACCGTAGACTTTTACACCAAGGGAGAAAAAACATAACATACGCTAAGAAAATAAACTCTTATATCCAGTTTTAAAACCACAGTCGAATAATTCAGGGAGAGGAGTCATTGATGCTGTGAAACCCAGAATTTGAAATTATTTTTGGATCTAATGCGCCCGCACAGTATTTTACGAAGACCATTCTTAAAAGATCGCCTATATATGTCGTACGTCTATAGGGAATGCACAAACATGCACAAATGCTTCTAAGCGATGTTGCAGATTTTACAAAAAATGTCAGTTTTCAGTGGTTTTTCGAGCTTTTTTGCAATTTATGATACTCTAATTGAAAAAATAAGGACATATTCGGAATCAGCGTAAAAAACTGCATCGAATGGCGTATAATTGATTGAGTTTTGGACATATACTTTTGAATCTTATCGAATTCTTTGATTTTGGGATCGGCACGTAGAATTTTTTGCCCGAAAATTTAAAAATCAAGATTTAAAATCATGAATGCTTCTAAAATATTTTTCTATAGGTTTTCAGCGATGCTCTTTCCAATGGAATGGTTTTTGAATTCTGATAAAGTTTTTGAAGTGGTTTGAAGAGATCCGGTCTCTGAAAAACCCCTTGGGAAACTTTTTAAAACTCAATATCCATTCGGTTGGAAAGAGCGTCGTAGAAAACCTAAAGAAAAATGGTTTAGATACGTTTGGACTGCTTTCAAAACTCATGTCCACGTGCTTAGTCAAAATTGCCCACTGCTATATACATATATACGAGTCATGCTGTAGCACGCAATCAATTATACTATTCTGAATATATAAAAATCTCAAAATACTCTTTTCTAAAAAATAAACCAGATTTTCATTTAATCTTATTCTCATGTTTCATTTGCACTTTATTTCATTTTCTACATAAAATTAATGTGAATATTCACTGAATAACTAAAGTTTGAACACATATTATGACCAATTATCATGACCCGACGAGAAAGCCGGAAAGTCATGGTAGTCAAAAAGAACAGTTTATCTAGCTACTGAATATAAAAGAAGAAAGTATGATTTATTAAACGTTAATCACCGATACTGAGAGTCACATATTTCAAAAACTAAAAGGGATCTTTTTCTTCCGAATATGTAAAAATTTCGAGACCTGCTTTCTTAGACAAAAAAACATCAAATTTTGATATGTTGAACTGTAGTGTAGGAAAGCATGAAATCTCAGCAAGATCCTCGGATAAAAATCACGGTTATCTTAGTGTACAGCGTAATCGACCATTTCTAATATCTATGACTTCCAAAGCACTTTTACATATTAGCAAGTGATAAGGCCAAAGAGAATATAAATACTACCTATAATTAAGTAGCACAGTTGATGTGTTCTTTGATATGTTATATATATGAGTTAATAAAAAGTAATCTATAGAAAAAATGAATAAATGGGAGTAGAAAGATAGATTTTATATATTTTTTTTTCTCTCTTATACAAACATCACAGTGGAGCGCTTTACGTTATTCTACGATTGATTCGATCGTAGTTTTGACGGCTTCCATAACATTCCATTCATTAAAACTATTTCCGTAAATAATATGAACAACCCAAAGTATAATAAAGCCGAAAGATACTAGCTAGTGTGGAGGATGACGCGAAACTGAACTGAACCAAATTGGATAAAAATTGGGTGCCAAATACAACATTTGTCGGTGAATCCGACAGCGGGTTCCTTATAATTACATCTTTACTTCTTTTTTTTCTTTTTTCATTGGTTGAAAAAAGGCGCTCATGAGAAAAATAAAATTCAGGTAAAAGCCACGTTGATTATGTTGACGCCAAAAAAGAAGTAAAGATGTAATTATAAGGAACCCTGTCGGATTCACCGACAAATTTTGCATTTGGCACCCAATTTTTATCCAATTTGGTTCAGCGCGGAGAAAGCACCAAATTTTCTAATGAATTGAAATTTTGGATGTAGGTATACTAACCTATCGCATGTAATTAATATCAAAACTGGAATCTGTTTTTTCATTTAAACAGATTGATTTTTCATCGGCCAGAAAGTGCTCGATATTCAAGGACCGAATTCTTATGCATTTTCTGCGTTGTTTTGCTCAGAAAAACAAAAAGAAGTTTCTAAAAAACTGAAAAATGCAGATAGTCCTTCTCTAACCTGATAGAACAGTAGAATTCACGAGGTGGCAGAATTCAGTTTTGAATGTTTTTAGTTGTATCAACAGCAGACACTTTTTTGGATGTCATGGATAACGAAGGGCTAGTCGAAGAAGAAAACCATATCATTAAACAAATCGTTATTACCACAGATAATCTGACAACAATGAACGACCAGAATAAATTTTCAGTTAACTTTTTCATATTACCTGCTTCGTCTGCTAAAGTTGATGATATTGTTAGAGCTAACTTGTGGAATATCCAGAAAACAGAAGTTAAACCAGATGGAACAATACAAGACCTAATCAATTCCATAAACAATCAACAGAAAACTAAACAAGTATTTTATCCAATTGTAATGTTAAATGAAAGAGTATTAAGCGCACATGCTAAACTTAGCTCATATTCAAATGAATTATCAAGGAGTACGGTTTATCTTTTTATAAAAGATGACATTAATAATGAAACTTCAACTTCTGAACAAACCGGCCATAAACAGTTGTCCAGAAATCGAATTGTACGTAATAGAGTAACAGATTCAGGAATCACTAATACGACTCACTCCGAAAATCCAGCTAGCGAATTGAAAATATTATTAACAAATACATACCAACCATTTGCTTACTATAAAAATGCTGAAAGTGCAGATACTTTGTCCAACGTATTTATTCATTTTATTCCACAAAAACGAAAAGTGAGCACTGAATCAGATTCCCCATCATCTGACACAGCACCTGGTGCAAATAAGTCAGCCGAAAAGAAAATTTTACATTTAGAAGATATACCGATAAATGAGCGATTTTCTGAAATAAAAACGAAAACAGTTCGTATGCTCAATTTAAACAATTATAATTATGAAGATTACGAATTATTTTATCATGGACGGCTATTGAACAGTAACAGTACATTTAAAAAAATGGATATCCATACTAGTTGCATATTAACGTTTGTTCAGAAAAGTTTCTGTAGAGTTTTAGTGCTGGATAAGATAAATACACCGATGACAACTGACAGCTCTCAGGAGAAGTTATCGCATGCAGCATTTATTTATTCGTTACGTTTACTAATTTATGCAATTATTTTTGATTCAAAGTACGATAAAAATTTTCAGCGATTTTTTACATATTGTGATTATAATAAATCATTAACATTAGGAAAACGAGAATTGGAAATTGGCCTTTTAACATTGTTGAAGCTGATTAATAGTGGAAAGTTATGTGATAATGAAAATGACAATGAAGATGAATACGTTGGTGAAAATCCAGAAACAGACCGTTTAGCTTATTATGATTTGTTATCAACACCGTCCGACCAAGAATGGAAATTGCCTGAATTTAAATGTTTCTTTGCCGATATCTTAGTTGAACATATTTATATATGTTCTTTATCTCGTGAGTCATTAGTGTCGATATATCATTATCTTCTAAATTTTTCGAAAGTTCTCAACGAAGTTCTTTCCGTTTCGATGATTATCCACAACGATGTCGATTGTATACTAGTCATGGATACGATTTGGAAAACCACTTTGCTTATATTACTCATTTTGCTTTCGCCTATTCTATTCGTTATTGGGCTATTATTAATTATATTAATTGCTATACTAATGTGTTGTTATTGTTGTTGCTGTTGCTGTGATTGTCGCGACTTTTTTCGAGACTATGCTACTGACTTCCCTGTTCTTCACTTCTGTAAAGGCATTTTTGGTTTGATTCTTACAGCAGTAGCCGCTTACATTCCGCTTTATAATTTAGTATTATATCATTCTAATTATACACAAAATAATTCATATTATCAAGTAAATGTTTTAGAAGCATATTGGCCATTTATATTATTAATTTATTTTATTGTATATTTCAGTGTTATTTATGCTACAGGCTTCATACGACAAACTAAACTAAATAAAACTTTACTTAAACGAACATATGATAAGGCAAAATTAAAAATTTTAAACGAATATACTAAACCAGTAAAATATCAAATTAATAAACCAGTGAATAAGGAATATTATCCACCTCATCTTGAATTAACATATTATAAATTTGAACTATGCCGTCATTTTACAGATCATAAAATTTTATTTTCATTTTCAATAATTATCTTTCTAGTTATAATTTTAATTCATCCATGTATACCATATATTTATCGTCATATTAATTTGAATAGTACAATAACATCTCAACGTCCATGGTATGTTAAATCAATTGAGTATTCATATATCTATACAACGCTAATTTTTTATTCGTTATTCATTTTTATGATTATTATCAGTTTATTGACCTATGCTAATTTATTTGGTTCGTTAAAACGTTTAATGTCACAAACAAATTCAGAAAAGCATAGAGAATTAGATTTATATATTTATTTTAATTTGACAAATCCTCATAATTTAGAATATTTTTTATATTTATTAAAAACGTCCCAATCATCTGTTGATGAGACCAATATATCTATAGCAACAATTGGTTTTGCATTAATTATTGATGCTATACTTATAATAGAATCAATAGTACGAGTTATACTATTTAATGAATATGATTTACTAACAATATTTTCATTAATTGATATTGTCATATTATCTGTATTAATTCTTCTATTTTTAACGATTGTTGTTCGAATAAGTGATCAATCATTCAAGATGTTCACTAGAAAAGTAAAACGTTTTTATTCCAATTCATAACTTATACTCAACTGGAAGACTATTCTCCATTCTTCATTTGTCAGTACATCTTTAACAAATAACGTTTAAATAAAATATTAATGACAGATTTTGTTCAATTATTAAAGAAATTAAAAAAAGATGATATGACTGCATTATTAGTTCATCGAAATGGTTTGAATTCTCTTAAATATAAGAGTAATGTTACAACGACAACAGATACTTCTTTTCAACAACCAGAACACACGGATGATAATGAAATGATAATAGCTCAGAATTTAAAAGCTAATAATGCTTATTTATTAAGTGTAATTGAACATTTAGAAAGCTCAAAAGATGATTATGCTGTCAAAATATTGAGTGTGGTTATTGATCAAGCTTTTTTGATTAAAATTCTTATTTCAATGTTAACTGGAATCATATCCACAATTACTTCACTAACAAAACGCTGAGCGGTTATAGTAGTGATCTTTTGTTTTTCTCTCTTTCTACGAGTTTTATGGAATGGGAGAACTCGGTTTCATTTCATCATTATTTTCTTACTTTACAACTTGACACGGGCTGCAGACCTAACATAATGACGGACGAGTTGCTGGCTCGATGTCGATATATATCTGGAAGGAGCTGTGTGGAAACACCTGGTTGTCAATGGGGGAACATGTTAAATAACTGAACGAAACGAAACATGACTCGACTGGAAGTCGAACACAGCACTTTCACGTTCCGCGTCAATCCACTAACCAATTGAGCTATCGAGCCACAGTTTCCTCATATCTCTTTCGTCCACGTAACAAGCAGAAAACCCCACCGAGTCACAACACTTCTAAAATTGATGATATTTTTCTAGGAAAGTCGTCAATGAGATTTTTACATATTCGAAATTAGAGCTACGAGTTACGTTGTAAAAATAGAAAGAAACAAAAATGGGTACATTTCTCTCTGCAGAGAAAATGACAAAATACTAAGGGAACGTTTCAAAATATATTCCGGTCGGTCGGTCGCTACTCCTCTATTCCTCGACAATTCCCCTATTATTCCTCTGTCATTCCTCTATTCCCCAATTATTTCTCTATTATAGAACATTTCACTGTACATTAGTTTTGATATATACAGTTTATATATACTGAGTTTGATTTATTTTTCCAATTGTTTCTACTTCTTCAAAAACAATTAACCGTCATGTTTCGAAAGATTGTTCATTTAACGAGCTATCAATAACATATTTAAAGCAAAAAGAGAACATCTATTTTATAGTTCATTCAACTGTCATACTATACAGGCCATTTTAGAATACAATATTTTTCTTAAAATACCGAAGAAACTACAGTATCATGTGTTCTTTCATTATGAACGTGAAGATTTAGACAAAACGAACTTAAAGATCTAAAAATTACAATAAAATAGAAGAATTTCATTTTAATAATCTAGTACGCAATCAACAACATTTTTATTTATAGTATTTTTAAATTTTTGAACGTTCTTCTACTAATACTTTTCATTAAATTGTCCTTATTCGGCTACATATTTTATTCAGTAATTCTTTACATTGATTAGGGAGCACGTCAAAATTTAAATTCTATTTTGTATAATTTTCGGTTCCTTTGATTGTATTGTGAATACATACATCGGCATATATACACTTCATGCATTCATTTTTTA